AGATCCCCACTCAGGAGAGCACACTCCAGACTTCATGGTGTGTGCGGGGCGGGGTGCGGGGTGCGGGGTGCCACACAAGATAGGAAAGGGAAAGGAGGAGATAGGGAGTAGGCTAGGCTGAGGACAGGGTACAAAAAGGGAGTCCAGACAGGGTTTGGCCAGGCTCTGATGCACCCGCCTCTCTGTAACCAATTACGCTCAAGCAGCGGCCTCATCACGTTTCAGAGCCCTCCCAGGAGCCCCCCCTCAGCCCCATGCATCCCCGCTGGGTGCCGAGCAAGAGGACCATATGGAGGGAATAATAAGACAATTAACTTTCCATTAAAGAATAATATATGTGGGTTTTTAGGGAGGCAAGCGACAGCAATCCCTACCCAGCGGCATATTTCACACCCGAGTCCTTTATCACCCCTCCACTACAACCCACATCACCATCATCTGCACCAGGAGAGAGGAGGGTGCCACTGGGCCCCAACAGGGAGCAAGCGGCTGGGTGAAGGGGTGGGGCCTGCCTGATAAGCAGAGCCACTAAGAAGATGGTTCTGAGGTGTGTGGGGGCGGTGGTAAGCCAGTGAGGATCTGGGAGAAAACTGCTGGGGTTCCCTCATCACCCCCCAGCAGACTCTCAGTGCACTGCATACCCTAAGGAGCTGCTTGCTGCCTGCCTTTCAAAGGCACACACAAGTCAGTGTGTGGGCCACGGGTCACAACCTCTGCCTTTGCCTGGCCTTTCTGGAATCGCTTCAAGCCCATGGCACTTCCTCTCACCCAAGTTTTTTTCTTCTTCTTCTGCTCCCACCCCTCTATGTTTCTGGGGCTCCATGCCACTTTCAGGGCACTGCTAATCTTGCCTTGGATGCCCAGCACAAACTCTCCTCAAATGGAAACACCAGCAAATACTAAAGCCAGTGTGCGAGTTTGCAGGGGTGCCAGCTGGGGAGGAGGTGTGGGGGCACTCAGAGAGTCATTTCTCAAAGGCACCTACAGAGGACTCTAGAAGTTTCCAGACTTTGGCCCAAGCTGATAGCCAGCTCCAGATGTGGCAGTCTGCAAATATTAATTACACATTCTTGGGAGCGCTGAGATGACGAGCAGGAGGCATAGCCAGGGGTGGACAAGACAGAACAGGACTGTGACATTGGCACTGGTTTAGAAGTACTATTTTTGGTCCTCATAAGAGGTCAAGGAGCCACAGATACCATGGGCCCGAATCACCCTGACTGGAGGATGTCAGTTGGGCGGACCCAGCAGGAGACTGAGACTGGGGAATTCCGAACCTGAGGTCCTGCTCCTTGTGGACTGGTTTGGGGAGGTGCTGACTGCGCTGGTTCCTTTGTCCTGACACTTGCTCTCCAGCACTTATGGCTGGCCTGTCTGAGCTCCAGGACTGGCTGTTGGAAATGACTGACCAGGACCTTGGGTTTCCCTCCTTCATAAGTCTGTGGGGATAACCAGCAGCACGTAGCTTGGCTAAGATCACCGTGCAGAAGAAGGCATGGGGGTTATAGACAGGGTAGTTGGCATTTCTACCCTGATCAGCAAATGAGGTACGTGGAGTTTGACATGAGGGGCACATTTCCAGAGGAGATGCTGTGGTCCCAGACATGGCCATCTCAGGTGCCTGCTCCATGCCATCTCTGTCAAGTTCCCCCTCACTCTTAGCCCAGGCAGAAGGTCTTTTCCCCTGTATGTGAGTATCTCACCAGGTCAGAAACCTATCTGAGGCCTGGTATACCTGATGACAGTCCCAAGCCTGAGGACAGTCTCTCCTGCTTTGCTTTTCACAAGGTCCCCAGAGCTGTTCTCCTTGTACCCTAGACATCCATTCAGAAGTGGGAATGAATGTCCCTGACCTAGGCTTCAAAGAGGAAAGACCTGCCTTTCTCCTCATCCTCCTCTTGCACCCCCCAAGCAACCGATGAATTATTCATCCTGATACCCTCATTATGCAAATGAGCTCTGAGCCCAAGCATATGTTCTCTCCTCTCCCCCTAGGATGGGGACAATATGGTGCTGATGGGGGAGGGTGGAGAAGGGGCTCAGGAGACTTCTCTTAGTCCCATGGGCTGTGGAGGGCACAGACTGCTTAGGGCTCACACTTTCGTGGACTGTACAAGGCATGATTGGCAAGGGCCTGAGTGGGGCTATAGTGCTCAAGAAAGTGTAGCTCGGGGCTGTCTGGCTAAATTAAGGAAGAGATGATAGGCTAGCAGCAGACTAGGTGCTGGCCTAGGGTCAGACGAGGGAATGTGACAGGGTCTTCATAGGCAGCTTCCTATGGTATGCCATGGTTTCTAACCAAAAAAATGGGCCACATTCTGCCCCCAGCCATGCCCCCATGGGGTTGTGGTAAGGTCGGGAGGAGGAAAATGCCAAGGCAAGGAAAACTCTCTCAAATGCCACTGTCTGCAGTTTCTGCTCTCTTGCAGCTGCCAGCCCTTGAGGCTCCAAGCTACTGGGGGTGGGGAAGCCTCCAGGAGCAGGGCAGGCAAGGAGTGGAGCCATGGAGGAGGCTCTGATCACCACAGTGGTGGGGCGGGGAGGGGGGCTGGGAAGCTCAGAATTAGCTCCGAAGCCTGAGGAGGGCTGGCTGCCCCAGTGGGGGCTTGGGCTGTCAGCTTGGCAGCACTAGTGAGAGGGCCAGTGATAGCATCGGTAGCTGGGTCACGTCTCTGCACCAGCCATCCTCCTGACCCGTCGGAACAAACACAAGCACACCAGCCCTTGCAATGCGTTGGAAGAAGGGGAAAGGTGTGAACTATGGAGCTGGTGAGGAGGCCACCGGTTAGGTCATTCCAGCACCCACAGGGGTGCTCTCTTCTGCTAGAGCTGTACACCTGTCCCTTCCCCCACTGACACATCTTGGCCAAGTATGCTGTGCCAAGAAGCAGTCCCAGAGCTGTCATCAGGAAGAGGCTGAGGAAGCAGGTGAGAAAAACTGGAGCAGGACAGAGCCACTGAGAGCTGGCAGCCGTGGGCAGCGGAGGGGCTGCCAAGAAAAGGGACGCCGGGTCAGCACTTCTTTGCTCCCCTGCCATACCAAACACAGTCCTGCCCAGGTTCCCAGAGATGCAAGTATCCTCCATGCACCCAGGAGGAGAAAACCAGCCAGAGGCTGGGCTGGAGCAGGAGGCAGGAACCCCAGCTCTGCTGCAGGCCAGCTATGGTAGCTTGTTCACTGCCCAGCCCATAACAGTTAGGGAAGATATGCTCACTGGTGAAAGGACCTGGAATTACCCACACTCCATCCAAAGGGAGAGGAACTGTAAGAAAACTGTAATGAAGAAAACTGTAATGATTTCTGGCTCTGGGGTGGGGTGGGGTGGGGAGGTG